GAAAATAACAACACGCGAATAATTCATACCGAATAATACCGAATAATTCATAATTCACCGACCGCGAATTCGCGAAAATATTGCGTATACATGCAGTATATATGACTGTCTATGAATGTGTACTAGGGGTATTATACCGTATCACCTGAACATTCTAGATCATATCTCGTCACGACCTGTGCGACGACTCAGCCGACAACACTCCCACGGAGAATGGTGGGATGACAGAAGCCATGAAGCCAACACCGGAGGGGACAGCACACGGCAGTGGCGAGGCAAAGCTGCTGCTGCTGCCATCTGCTGGCAACGTAGGGAAGCCGACGCCCGTCACGCGCGAGGCTGCCGAGAAGAAGAGGCTGAAAAAGGGCACCGTACTCGATTTCTTTACATCGGTAATTATCGTTTAATTACATACTATTATTAATGCAATTAACGATGAACATTCCAATTAATGCATTATTAAATAATCGGGAGATAACGTCCTCGCAACGTAAAAAAATGCGTGGCTTGTGTTTGTTTAATTAACGTATCAATTTTGCGTAATATTTTAAATATCTTATTTCTTAGCTTGAAGTTATCTGTCAGTGTATTTTCAATCCCATATAACCTTGGTAAGTACCAATGAGGCAGCCTGTGCTTGCGTTACCAGGTTGCAAAGTGCATCGGGCAGGAAAACTTCAGCAAGTTTAAAATAGCATTGCATCAGTACACTCTCATCAAAGATCTGCAGGTGTTCCTCGACACTCTTTTCGGACTTTTTCCTCCAGATCACCTCGAGTTGTACGTAGGTAGGTTCGTCAGAAATCTGGCAAGCATTCCCGAAAAATGTTACCTCTTTCTTCATATGTTACATAATTTTACTTCCATCTTGAATCTTGAATCTAGATCGTTTAGCTGTGCTGCAGATACATACATGTGCTGCAGTTTACTTCAATTGTGCTGCACTTTTAGTTTCTTAATCAGTGGTTTTTATGCTACAGGTGTCTGCAATTTTCTTGAGGCCGACCGAAGAGAGACGATGGCAGAAATGTTGTATGATCAGGTCTATTGCCACCGCATTCACAAGCTGACACCAGATGGCATCGGTGAGCGTGTGATCCACCTTCATGTAGCAGGATTTCCTTGATTTCCAAGATTGGGCTCAACTCTTATACAAATCTGAGGGGTAGATAATCTGCAACACTTGTATACTTTGTATAAATTTTACTTCGTATGCTTGTATAGTTGCACTCTTTGTAGTACTTGACTACTTGTGTGTGGCTGCGTTGCATGCATGCATGCAGTGCGAGCATGCGTGCGAGCGTGCGTGCGAGCGAGCGTGCGTTCGAGCGTGCGTGCGTGCGAGCGAGCGTGCGTTCGAGCGTGCGTGCGTGCGTGCGTGCGTGCGTGCAAACGAGCGCGCGTGATCGATATACGACACTCGTCAGTACGCTTTCATCGTACACGCTCCACCGTCTGTAGTTGCCGCCGCCGCCGCCGACGACGACGACGACGCGTCCACCCTTCACCGCTGGATCCTCCACGTCGTGAGGCAAGCACGCGCGACGCAACTGCCGCCGCCGCCGGGAGGGCTCGACTACCGGCTATGCGCGAGGGAGGTATTCGTGAAGTTCCTGCTACGGAAGCTGACCGGGGCTGAGGAGGAGGAGGCAGGCAGACAGGTACGTGTGCACGCGTCGCTTGAGATCGAGTCAGAGTGTCGCGTGTGCGTGCGTTTGAGGCGTGGCGTGGCATCGCCTCGTGAGATTTCGTTCCGTGAACGTCGCAGTGTGAATGGACTTGCTGCTGTAGGGGGGGGGGATAGTGACGTATTTTAAAAGGTTTCGGGTTTCGTTATCGGTCATTCAGGGTGAATGCGTGCGTCCGTGCATGCGTGCGCGTGTATGTGTGTGTGCGTTCGTACGTGCGTGCGTGCGTGCGTGCGAGCGCGTGTGCGTGCATGCCTGTGTTCCTGCGTGCGAGCGTGCGTGCCTGCGTGCGTGCGCGTGCGTTCGTACGTGCGTGGCTGAGTATGTGCGTGGCTACCTGTCTCCCGCGGTGCTTCACTGACGCTAATTACTTCACAGAAACAGGAAGCCAGCACACCTGCAATCAGTGACACACCTGCAATCAGTGACACACCTGCAATCAGCGACACACCTGCAATCAGCGATAACCAAGCCTCCGGTCACGCGACCGCCCCCTCCGCCGCAATCATGACGCAAACGCCAACGACGTCCGAAGACGCCACCGGCGGCGCCACCGGGCGAAACGACGACGGCGCCGCGATTTCCGAGGTGCGGTCGGACGCCGACGGACAAGTGAGCAGTCAACAGCTGGATGCGTCGGCGGATGTCCTGAGCGGGTCGGCGGATGTATGTGGCGCGCCTTGCAGATTGTGCGGGGCGACGGGAGAGGACGTGCAGTGTCCGGTGGTAGCAAAGCCCTGCGGTCACGTAGCCTGCAAGGCTTGCTGGCGGAAATACCTCTACGTAAGTCGACGCTACTACCGCCGCACGCGCGCGAATCAAATACACAAACGATTACAGGAGTACGTGATGTCAGAGGTGTGTTAGGTGTCTTGTTCTCGCTACGATTAGAGGATGTGAAGTAAGGCTGCGATACTACCGCACGCGATTCAAATTCACAAACGAGTGCGAGAGAGTTTGAGAGTTTGAGGATTTGTTCAATATGTTTGAAAGTGTTTGATATCCTGTTCTAGCAGCGATTAGAGGATTAGAGTAAATTTAGATAATGTAGTAATAGTAGTAAAAGTAATAGTAATAGTGATAGTAACAGGAGTCTATCAATATTTAATAGTAATAGTAATAATAGTAATAGTAATAGTAATAGTAATAGTAGTAGTAATAGTAGTAAAAGTAAATGATTTAAGTGCTAACGAGTAAACGTCGTTTTATTTTTGTTTCTTCGCAGAAGTCCCGTAAATGCCCTGCGTGTAAGGCGCAGCTCGGGAAAAAGTCTTTCAAGAAACTCTACTGAGCTTTCGTGACCGTCCACAGATTTCCTGCGATGTCCGTATAATGTACATACCTTTTTTTTAACTTGCTCTGCAACACGCTCGAGGGCTCGGCTCAACCGTTGGTTGTTACTACAAATTGTGTATATTTCGATTTTCTTGCACAGTTTTCGTGCAGGCAGAGCTAGTTTCTTGTAAATCGAGAATGCGTGAGCATACAATTTACTCCGAGCGCGAAAAAATTATATCGCAATGATATATCGACTTATATTCGTGAATACGTGTGATTAGGTATAATATATTTGTGATACAACTCTACTTCGGTTTTGTAATTTTGTCGCGTTTTAAACGCGTCCATTATATCAGTCTTGACTTGTATTGAGTTTCTTCTGCTCGAAGGCTGGCTTGACATTTCAAGATTTATTAGCACAGCATATATTCTTTGCATACACGAAGACTATAAATTCATACGAAAAACCGATCACACCATCCGAGTTTTAGTGGAGGTGTGACTCCGATGTTAGGAACTGACTTTTTTTCTTAGAAAGACGTCCTCGCGCCACGTTTTCGTGACACATTAATTGCTGTTTTATTTCATACACTTCTTATGTTTGTCAGGCATTTGTCTTCACGCTTAATCTCATGTTTAGTGTCTGTTTGGGCAATCTATTCACTTGTGATTATAATTACAGTTAGGTTACTAAGAGGGTGTTGAAACACAAAGAGTGTAATAATTAAACTATACACCGACTCATGGAACAATCAAGGATCGTAGAAGAATGCACTTTGTGAACTAGGTGCGCATAATCGCTATCCTTGGGATCATTTTCGCTAGAAGATTAATTGCGGAATCCCATTTCCTATTGTGCGTGCACTATTTCACCAACGACTATGCGTGTGTGTGTGTGCGTGCGTGTGTGTGTGTGTGGGTGCCTGCGTGCGTGTGTGTGTGCGCGCGCGTGTGCGTGCGTGTGTGTGTGTGTGTGTGTTTGCGGGTATGAGTGTGTGTGCGTGTGCGTGCGTGCGTACATGCGTGTGTGTATGCGTGCGTCCGTTCGTGCATGCGTGTGTGTGTGTGTGCGGGTGGTCATCATCTCGTTTCTCTGGTGATTGGCAGGCCCGTCACCATGGCAACGGGCCGCAGCTCGTCCGAGACCTGGGAAATTGGATTTGTGCAGCAGCGGGAGCAGCGGCCTCGCTCGTTCGATTCGGCGTAAACACGTACGTACGGACGCAGCAGTTGATAGCAGGGTTGGCGACGCGACAGGACGGGAAAATCGTCGCTCAGCGATCGCCTAAAATAGCTCACATTCTCTACACCTGACAGTCAGATAGAGAGGAAAATAGAGCGAGAGAGAGAGAGACTGAAGTGTTTATTACGTGACATAGGGAAGGAAAGGCGTTGTATTTCGGTCATTATATATATACGTGTATACGGTAGCTCGAGGCACCAGCCGTTACCCGGTCGTTGTCGTGACTAGAGCTTCGCTCGGCGTAGAGAATTGTCGCAGCTGCTAGCGTGTGTGTGTGTCTAGGGTGGACTTTGCTATGTCCATCTCGCCAAAACTCGTTTGACACGCCCGCTCACGGAAGCTGCTGCATTTTCTACATCTACACTCGTATATATACATAAGATCAGTCCTGATAAGATATATGTAACCAGAGGACGGCCAGAGTGCGGCCATACTTGAAGGAAGCCAGAGAACAGACGAAGACCGGGAGGGTCTGCATAAACCGTGAGGTGTTTTTTTTACATATATCGTGCGGTTTTTGGAACATTGCGCGTGGATCGTACGGTCTTCCTTTATAAGTCGTACGATCTTTGCGTCAAGCCGACCATCTTTGACGGGAGAGAGAGAAAGACAGAAAGGAAGCGAGAGAGACAGAGCGGAAGAGAGGAACCCGTTCGCTGGTAAAGCTTTGCTGGAGGGCATCAGGAGTAGGAGAGGGGGAGGCCCGGACGCAGTGGAGGGGAGAGGAGCAGCATCACACCGACGGGCGGCGATGGATAGAGAGAGCGACGCAGCCGGCATACGAAAGGCGATACATCATCACCAGGCTGAGCCGCCCTACCTAGAACTGAAGTATATTCTCTACTTGCTGTCGCAGCATCGACAGTTAAAGCTGGGACTCGAGCGAAAATTATCGCCATTTTACATGAGCGAGATCGTTCCTTGAACGTTCATGCACACATCGTATATATACTCTATACATCGTACATAGATACATATAGCGAGCGGACGTACCCATCTGAGCGTATGCAAGGTTTCCCCTAAGGATGGCAGCAAAGGGTAAGATTGCTAGATATTATAATAAATATATATCATATAATAATATATAATATCAAGAGTACATATAGAGATTATACTATTATGTCTCTATTATGTACTCTTGATAATATCAGAAGTAGATAATAGGGATTCCTATTATCTACTTCTGATAATATGTATATACTGAGATATTGGTGTATGTATACACAGGCTGGTATCGCACTATCGTTACCCTAGTTAAGAGTGTGCTGATTGGAGTATTGTGTGAGATGCCTCGGTTTTTTGTTTATTTTACGGATTCTAAGTCTGGGTTTTCGGCTTGCTTTGGTAGTTCAATCATCAAACTTTATTGAGAAATGGACATGTTTACCGAAAACCGTAAAAATGAGTAACTGTTTTTCCGCCAAGCGAGTTATGTGGTACGTATATATCATCAGAACCCTCAATTAATTGTGTTTCTGTCAGCGTATACCTTGGCGTACGTGGTACTCTCGCCCGTAGCGGTTTCATGGCCCTCCGACAATAGGCGTTTGACTTGTCGAGGTTTCATTTTCCTCGCGCGTGATGCATTTGGGTCGTTGGAAATGTGTAACGAAGTTGTTTACGAAGACGGTATAGGTACGCGTAGCGCGTTCTATGCGCGTTCTATGAACGCGTTTCTTGAACGCGTCTGTCACTGTATATGACGTGCGTGCTTCTGATGTAATCTGCGATGCATCCATGGTAGCAAATCGCATTTTTCATGCGTCGCCGATGCACGCGATGACAGTGGCGGGAGTTGTACTGTGTGCGTGATCATTTCGCCAACACCGCTCACGGCACCGTGCACCGAAATAGTCCATATAATGACAACTGATTCGATTCTAAGCGCATGTGGGAAATTCGCGAACTGGAAATTGGCCCGCGCGCGCGTTCGTATATCTTCCCAAAGAGGTTAGTGGCATCTAATCGCTTCGTCGGCCACCAAACAACACGAACACACATCAGAAACCGGTAGTCTCGTCCTTGTGTTAGATGGGTACTGCAGATCTTTGCGTTATATAGTTTAACACATATTTCGTCCGTAGATGTGATCGTCTATATATATAGCTTGCACTGCCCGCGAAATGAAATCAGGCGTAACGCCCGCACGTCTGACACTTATAGCGGTGCGGAAGGTTGAGTTGTCATTCATACATGATTCGTCTGCGTGGATACATGTATACACAAACACATCATTGTTGTTGTTTTCGAACGCGGGTAAACTTGTCCCGATTTATTTGTCAGCGCTCAGAGGAGACCTTACTAAATCTTTACGAAGAGAAATTCGTGATAGTGTAATATAATATATACTACTATAGCATTCGTGGACGCTCAAGCTTGTCGTTTTGAATGTATCGTTTGCTGTCGGATTTCGATGATTTTGGAGATACCGACTATCGTCACATATTTGAAATTGAGAAGAAGAGGAAGATATGGACGGGAGTAGTGAGGATAGTACCGACAGCTCTGGCGAGTCGGCCAGGCGAAAGCTGACAGGTAAACGAACGATTAACAATTAACATATGGTGTCATGTAGCAGCAGCTGCGGTGACACACCATCTCTCTCTCTCTCTCTCT